AACGAAGATCTAAATATTACAAATAGAACAAAATCTATTATTGAAACATGTTTAGCTCTCTATTTTTGGCAGACTAAATATTAGTTCTACCATTGCTACATAATCCCCAAAACGAGAGCTAACAGTTTTATTGCCAGAGAGACTTATACGGGAGGAGCTCAAGCTAATATGCTATCGACACATGTTTATACCAGTGCTCGAAACAGGCCGCACGGCCTAATGCTTTCATTTTATTACTTTTTACTAAACTATATGTTAGCTTTAAATACTACATATTATCAAAATGTTTTACGATTGAAGAATATGTGTTGAAAATAAACTAGTATCGAGAGTAGAAACTATAAATACCACTTTATATAATTCTTCAACTTTGACTGACGAGTGAATTCGTGGGAATCATAGCATTTTATGGAAAAAAGGTAATCCTTTGAATTTCGTGACGTTTTCAAGCGAAAGTTTTGTCGACTTTGAGCATGCAGTAGGCCAGCACGCAGTAGAAAACAATATAGGAGGGGTTCGAAAAGCAATTTTGATGCTTAAAATTAGAAATTTCAACTTCAAACTTTAAATTTCAATGGATTTTTTTATTCCTATTCATAAACTGCTGTGAACCGCGAGCTAACTCACTGTATGGTCTAAATCGAAAAAAAAACACTTTCTCTCAGAAATACGGTGGAATTTTCATGAGTGTACCTCATTAAAAAACTCTATGACAGAGTTTCGAGTTACACATCATGATCGTTATTGAGTACAAATACCTTTCAAAATATTTTATTTATTTGACTGCAAATGCAATTCAACTGATCGCATATTGATTTTATTTTAATTTGGAGAGTCAGCGCTAATCAAACTAAAAAACTCCGTAAGTTTGATCCCAAGTATATTGACAATTACTCAACTGATTTGAAAATTGGATTTAGAAAAAATCTTTGTCAATGAAATATTCTTCAGGCCCGGGCACTTTAGACAGGGTTCGTGCATGGAAAAGTGGCCTGTTTCGAGCCCTGTTTTGTTCTAAATTTTACATAGCTAAGAATTTTCAAAGAATAGCTTTGGCCTACCGTCGAAGTACGATATAGTATAGAATTTTCTGTTTCCGCATTGCGGTAAATTCAACATTTTAGTGGCAGGCTATGGCTACACCGGAAACTTACATGTTGACAAACCCTGAGATGCCGCTATAGGCATATTGAAATCTTTGTCAGCATGTTCAAACTATATCAACATATTTGTTGCGTTCTTTGGAGCAAGCTGGAAGAGATGGGATCAATTTTTCGTCAGATAGTTTAACGCTCACTGGCAATCATTTTTATAATAGGATTACAATAGTAAAGAGAAGCGTCACTTATTTTCTCTAGCGATTCACATGTTTATTGGATCCTTAGAAGATGAGAAAAGTGAATAATGATTCATTTCGGTTAGCTGAACGGTACGGTCTGGGAAAAACCTAAACGGTTACAAAACTGACCCGCCCACCCCCCCCCCCTCCCCGTTTCTAAAAAAAGAAAGAAGTGAATGCTATTGTTTAATGTTCGCCAGATCCGAATGAGTATAACTACGTATAAGGTGTATGGTAAACATTCGTTTTGAGCTATGATAGCACTCTTCGTCACTGACAACGATTAATTGTTTCTGCAGTGAAAGAATTTTCAGGAATAGACTGATCTTACTGTCATACCTGGACTGAGTACATTTACTGGTTTTCTATTCTCGTCGGATAAAACTATCGTTTTGAAAGAGAAAAAAAGGCTTGAACTAGAATCAAATTATGCGAGAATTTTAAAACTTCAGAAAATCATTCTGAGATCTGAAACATCAAAATTTCAGCATGAGGCATTTTATGCAAAGATTATTCTCTGAAGTAGGACTTCATTTTGCAGATCAATCAATGATTTCGGAAACAGTCTTCTCATTGCTATGGATCATATTCATTTTCTACCCTCCTCTTTTATGTAAAACTGCTGACGAGATACTTCAATGATTCACTTGCTGTGCAAAACTTCCGTTACCATATCCAAGAAGTATACCTACATTGTTGCCGAGATAGTTTGCTACAGCAAGATCCAGTCGACCGTCGTTGTTCAAGTCACCTATAGCGACCCAATTAGGAGTAGAATTATTTCCAGTTGGGAAAGTTATTTGCTTTCGAAAAGTTCCATTGCCATATCCAAGAAGTATACCTATATTGTTACCACCATTGTTGGCCACAACGATATCCAGTAGACTGTCATTGTTGAAGTCACCTACAGCGATCGAATAGGGCCAAGAAGTATTTGCAGTTGGAAAAGTTATTTGCACTCCAAAAGTTCCATTGCCATATCCGAGAAATACACCTACATTATCACCCATAAGATTGGCGACAGCGATATCAAGTATACTGTCGTTGTTAAAGTCACTTACAACGACCGAACGTGGATATGAATTCAGTCCAGTTGACAACGTATGTTGCATTCCAAAAGCCCCATTACCATTTCTAAGAAGTATACTTATAGTGTCACTCAAATAGTTGGCGATAGCAAGATCCGGCTGACTGTCGTTGTTAAAGTCACCTAAAGCAATTGATGCTGGACCAGACCCCCAAGTTGGGTATGAGCTATTCTGTCTGAATATTGCATAGTCGAAAGAAAGAAAAATACCAACGGTGTTGGTACCTTGATTCAAGACGATAAGGTCCAATCGATTGTCATTATTAAGATCACCAACAGCAGGAAAGTATGGATGGGAACCGACTCCGGTAGTATATACATTTTGGTTTGTGAATGTTCCATTGCCATATCCATAGGCTAGAGTTACACTGTCAGTCATGATATTGGCAATGACGATATCCATTCGATCGTCGTTATTAAAATCTCCTACAGTGGCAAATCTAGGACTCGAACCATCTTCCGCAGGGTATATGATATCGTCGGCGAAAGTACCGTCTCCATATCCTAAACGAATACCTATGTCGTCATGAGCTGAATAGACGATCAAAAGATCAAGTAGATTATCGCTGTTGAAATCGTTAGTTACAACAGAGAATGGATGCGAGCCAGATCCAGTTGAATAGCTTGCCTGATTAGCTGTATCTATGTTGTCAGACCCGAGAAGTACACCAACACTATCACTTCCAGTATGGGCCACTACAATATCCAGCCAAATGTCGCCGTTTAAATTACCAGTCGCAATCGAGATTGGTCGAGAACCAACCCCTGTTGAATAGCTACTTATCATTCCAAAAGTACCACTGCCTTGTCCAAAGAGCAGGCTTACATTATTAGTGCCCAGGTTCGATACGGCAATATCTAAAATATTATCGTTATTAAAATCACCAAGTATGAGTGATGTCGGAATAGAACCCCCTATCATAGAATATATCACTATTCTCTCGAAACTTCCATTGCCGTATCCAAGAAATATACCAACACTGTCACCTTCACTGTTTGCGAGAGCAACATCCAATAGGCTGTCATTGTTGAAGTCACCCAGAATTACGCATCTAGGGCTTGAGCCATTGCCAGCTGAAAATATCGTTTGCACTCCAAAGGTGCCATTGCCATTGCCTAGAAATAAACCCATACTATCAATACCACTATTCGCAAGAACTAAGTCGAGTAGACTGTCTTTGTTAACGTCGCCTACAGTGACCGACATAGGATACGATCCATCTCCAGTTGGTAATGTAGTTTGGGCCCGAAAATGCCCATTGCCATATCCGAGAAATATGCCTACATTAAAATGATAACTATTGACGACAGCGATGTCAAGTATACTGTCGTTATTGAAATCATCTACAGCGATCGATTGAGGATGAGAACCCGTTTCAGTTGGTAATGTGATTTGTGCTCTAAAGGTTCCATTACCATACCCGAAAAATAAGCCTACATTATCACTTAGTCTATTCGCTACAACGATATCGAGTAGATTATCTTCGTTGAAGTTGCCCACGCCGACCCATGTGGGTTGCGAGTCATTCCCAGTTGAACATATAATTGGCTCTCTAAAAGTTCCATCTCCGTATCCAAGAAATATACCTACATTATTATTTGCAATGTCGGCGGCCACAATATCGAGCAGACTGTCATTGTTGAAGTCACCCAACGCAACTGCACTACAACTATCTGAAGGCTCAATTTGATACTTTGTTTCATTTGCGAACGTTTTCATCACATATCTAAGAAATACTTCGATAGTGTTGGTGCCATTATTAATAGCCGCAAGATCCAATCGATGGTCATCATTGAAATCACCACTGATTAGAAAGACCGGCATAGAATCAGAGCCCGTTGAGTACATCTCGTTGTTCGTAAATGTCCCATTACCTGATCCAGAAAGTACAAAGATAGTGTTATTGGCAGAATTAGCTACGGCCACATCTAATATATGGTCTTCATTGAAGTCTCCAATAACCATGGAATGTGGGCAATATCCGAAACCAATGGAAGATATTTCTATCTTTGCAAACGTTCCGTCGCCGTATCCAATAAACACGCCTACATTGGAAGCCCACTCGTTGCTGACAATAATATCTAGGTGTTTGTCGTCATTCAAATCACCAACGCCGACTGACGATGGATGCGAAGCAACTCCAGTGCTATAAAGCTTTTGAAGTGAGAACGATCCATTGCTATTGCTGAGAAATACGGCTACATTATTAGTGCCTGAATTTGAGATAACAAGATCTAATCGATTGTCTTTGTTTAAATCAGCAACAACAATGGAACACGGATGGGAGTCATAACCCGTTGAATACCTCGCTTGGATAGAAAAATATGCGTTACCATAGCCAAGTAAGATATCTATTCTGCTAGTGTCATAATTTACTAGGATTATATCAAGGTGTTTGTCGTTGTTTAAGTCAGCAGCAGCACCCGACACTGGCCGAGAAGTACCAAGCGAAAAGAGACGAACAATTGCAAACGTTCCATCGCCATATCCAATTAGGATGCCGATACTGTTGGTTCCATAATTGGCGGCTACAATATCTGGTTGATTATCACTATTGAAATCACCAACTACCACAGAATATGGTTGAGATCTATAACCAGTTGAATAGGTCAGCTGCGATTGAAAGGTACCATTTGCATTCCCAAGAAAGATCCCAACTGTATCTGTTCCAGAATTTGCTACAACGATGTCCAGTTGAGTGTCATCATTAAAATCACTAACGATAGCTGACAGCGGACTCGAATTATAGACAGTTGAGTTTGGAGTAGTTACATTAAAAATACGTTGGCACGGTCCACCTGAAAACCAAGGAATGTATTTTTTCATAATTCGTAGGTTGCTCTCTTCAGCAAAAATAGGGTGCTCTCGAAACTAGGATACTCATGAATTTACTATCAAGTTTTGAATAGCAAGGACTCGCTTGATTAGCTAGTATTTGGATATTGGTACAGATCCTATTTCAATCCTAATCCTCTACAGTCACACTTTTTCTGATGCGCGTAAGCAACGATATTTATGTAGGCAAAGGAGAAATTGGAAATGTTTGATTAAGGACAAAACTAGCCATAGATTATTTTGCTTCTCATAAATTTTAGGAGTACTGTACCACATCAATATTGATAGATTATCATACTTTGTTTTTTCATCTGAGTGAAACAAATGATTATAATGCCAATAATCATTGCTATGCTTATGAAACAAGCCGTTCCAACAGCAGAGCAAATTTTTGAGCGAAGTGATCTTGTTCTAATAGAGCAACATGAATTTTAAGATAGAAATTTAAAGATAATAAACTTACAGAAACGTTAAATTTCCATGTGACGAGATAGAACGATTATTACTATACTGGATACGTCGCTGGTTGCTTGGATCCTGAATAGATTTCGTGGGCCTCTTTGATTTCATAGAGAACTGTTGTTCGTCAAAGAAATTTTCAGCCGATATAGAGTAATGTTATATAGAAGCTATTTTAGGTAAACTCAACTTTGGTCGACAGTAAAAATGTCGACAGCAAAAATGTCGACAGCAAAAATGTCGAAAGTAAAAATGTCGGCAGTTAAAAATATCGAAAGTGCAAAATGTCGAAAGAAATTTATAAAAATAAAATTAAAAAATCTAAAAGAAGGAGTGTTTTGAAAGATATTCGATGAATATATTATGATTGTAGGCAATGGCGGATCTACCAATTAGGCTACCCGGCCATCGCCACCCCCCTTAAGAAACTTTTTCGATTTTCTCCAGCAGAAATGAAACAGAAAATAGTCGTTCTGTCTCAACTAGACTTGAAAAACCGTTTTTTGGTCACGAGCGCCACCCCCTAACAGATTTTCTGGATCCGTCACTACTTGTAGGATCGATGGCGACTTAAATTCGTTTAAATCTATCATTGGTCTATCAGACATTGGTCACTTAGTACAATGTAATAGAAAAGAATAAGAAAATTATTCTTCAATTATTCACTATTCGAGTGATAAATATACATATGGAAGCCGCCACGGAATCGACACGCAACACGAATAGTGATTTAAATTGCATTACTTCGAATAAGGGACAACCTCTTTTAATAATGAATCAATTTTGAACACGACATTTTTCATGACTACCTACTCAGTTTTCGATATTTTTACTTTTTCGTTTTTTCGACATTTTACTGTCGACATTTTTACTGTCGATATTTTTACTGTCGACCAAAGTTCAGAGATTCCTATTTTAATCTATAGTAGATGTCTAACGAGAAAGTGCAATGCATATTCGGCAACAATTCTTAAGCAAAGAAAAAATCTCTGTATCAGTTCTTAGTATTAGCGAAGAATCTATACATTGGATCCGCCGACTTTTCATTCACTTGGTTTTCCAATCATTAACATGGATTTTCAAAGTATTGAAGTTAATCCGTATGTGTTGTTACTTTCAAACATTCTCAGTCGATTGTGACATATTTTTAGAGACTAAACTATACTTATCAATTTTGATTTCTCACGGTAACCATATGAAGTCTGCAATAAGGCGTTTTGCCATGGATATTGCTAAATAAAAATCTACAACTTCAAAAAAATTCTGAACATTTTTTCGTCAAACTGATCTAATTCTTGATACTCCATGCAGACAGCGTTTTCGGCTCAATATTGATTAACATATCATTGCACGAAAAATGATGCTCTACAGGAAAAACGTATTGAATCAGGTTTTCAATGTTTTTTACCAAACAACTTAATAAATGATTTTTGTTGGACTTATCTTCAACTATTCGTGATTAAGACTGCACTGTCTCTACCGCTCGATACCTGCTCTAAGAGGAATATTGTGGCAATGATATGAGTTTATCATCATCACATTGTTCGAATCAGGCTTAATCCGTTCCAATGCAATGTGATCTTTCTACAAGCTATATATATGAGCAAAATCAGGCAAAACGAGACATACACCCCCTTCATTCGATTCTTATTCTCCACACAGGCTTTCTTTTTGAATAATTTATTTTATCACTGACTTATGTGACACTCTTTGCTCTTTCACATGACTATTAATTATTATTAATTAATTAAAAAATAATTAGTGATTTTCTTGCAAACAGTATGAGAAAAAAGTCTGAAAATTTCAGGATAGACTCCAAAGTCCAAGCTGCATCTATGATAAAAGTTTCAGCCAGATTGAATTCCAAAAAATTTTCTACGAAAAACTGGCTCCATAAATAAGCGATCAAATGTAGAAACAAATATTGTTATGTTATTATAATCCCTGGACTCTGAGCAAGGATTTGTACGATTTGCAATCTTTTCCAAACTTTTTGTTCGATTATGAAGATATCTTTCCGGTAGTGTTTTCGTACTTCATCACGTCGCCAACGAAAAATTCATACGTTTGACAGAAAAATCTAGACATGCTGAAGCAAACATTGCATACGTATGTTGTAGTCCGAGATGGTGTCTACTGGATGTCGAATTTAGTTTTCTAAAATTATGTGGCAGTATGGAGTTTTTTGAAACTTAAGTCCGTAAAGTGAAAATCCGTGTCCTTTTCTGAATCACGTCGCTAACGACTACTTTTTCCAGATAATTCCTATCAACAAAGCTCCTTAGTACTGATTTCTGCAGGATATCTAGAGTCACTTAAGATCCACATAATATATAAAAATCAAGTCTAGAAAAGCTCACTGTTTCGAGATATAGATATTTGCATTTTACAAAACCACGTCGCTAACAAATGGTTTTGCCCATATATTGTTTTGGTGTTCAAAATAATTGATCATATTTTCTGCTGCAAATATCTCTCCTATAGTAAGAAACCAATTTAGAGAAAGGTTTTCTATAATTGTTTGTTAATGATAGCATATAAGAGAGTGATTGTGATGTACTTCAACTTCGTAAAAAAGTAACGGCGGTGGTTTCAAAATTTTAAAAAGTATAGCTCTCTTTAAATCGTTTCTATGAATACAGTATAATTTTAAAATTATCATTAGCACATTGTGGGAACATTGAAGAAAAATAGACCGTGATTCCTTTGAAACACAGTCGAAAAGGAGTTTTAATGTGTATAGGGTAGATATTTACGATTCAAGCCTCCACCCCTCTCTTAAATCGTTAAAGATATTATCATTGAATCGTTATTGTTCATAGAATATAGTTTAGAAATGCTCCTATTCCACACATTCTGTGACAGACATTGTTGATAGATAATCGCTGAAAGCAAGTCAATAAAGTGTCACTATAATATATGATCTATTTGCTTATTGCCTTTCTGGTAGATTAAGTGAGGAACTATGAAGAAGTGTATCCTGTAATAGGAATAATAAAGTATAATCTTTCTGTGACTATTAACAACAGCTACATCGAAGTTCGCATTTTATTTGTATGGAGATTACTTGAACAGCTTTTTCTTCTTAGTTGAATTTTAAGAATGCATAAGAAAAACTCACTCATATTTGCATTTGTTGCCAACATTGAATATGAATGATTCAAATGTTCCTCAATACTCTCAAAATCTTGTTAAAATCAACCTGCCTATACTTCTCACTCAATGAGATGTGAATCAATCACATTTCTGGTGTTACTTCATAAATACAGTATTTTTTTTAATATTATTCAGTCACAGTTGTATTATTTTTAATTACTTGTTGTACGAATGAATGATTTCTGTCCTATCCCCTTCTTTATCAAGGGTAAATCTAAAAAGTAAATGATATGTCGATGAATGATTTTAATTTTTGTTGACAGCTCATGATTAGTTGTATATGCTATCGTTCAAGCGTGTTAAATTAGAAAAAAGCAGCAGAAAAACCGAGGAAGACGCAATTTCAATTTGCTTAGCAATTATTAGGCAAAAAAAAGCTAATTTGAAAAAATGGTAGCAAAAATCAAAGTTATTTCCTTTTGTTTTCACGCTATTCGGATAGTTATGAAAACAAATCGACCATTTCAATGTGAACAGAAAATTAGAATCAAACTAAAGGAATCATAAACAAAAGCAGAAACTACTAAATATCTTGAATCAAATAAAGAAATGTTGGATTCTGATTCGGGTTTGAGTATAGATATTCACTTCACAAACATAATTATTCACATCCGTGAATGTGGATGGGTTAAGAGGAATCTTAACTAGTTTATTCTTGCTCAAAGGACTCGTTGGAGAGTTCAAGTCCCGTTTGGCTTCCAGCTTTTAAACGAGTGAACGCCACAATCGAAACAATCGACATTATTATATTTTGTCTGTCATTCTCATTCGGCTCACACCCACTTCGAATACTGAAGGCAGCGCTATAATTTTTCGAATAGAAATAAAGGCCATAATTTCATATAAGTACACTGATGATAAACTAAGTGATTGTACATTTAGATAAATAATTTGTGTAAAATGAAAAAGGCAGCCATTCTGAGCAACTTTTCTGTGAACTGTAAAGCAAAAATAGACATAGATTATAATCAAGAAGTTTTATAATTTTGAAGAACAGTATAATTCAAGTTTAATTGCTGCTCATTTTCGGCTGCTTTTTGTTTGTCGTATAGGCAAAACCCGAAATACGCAGCAATATGATCCGAATAATAGTTTCTGATTGATCTCTCAGAAGTTTGTTGTAGAGAAATCTTTGAAAGACTATGTATGAAAAAGAGGCACAGTTGCGGATTCAAACTGATCTAGAAAGCCTGGTAAGTGAATGATTTCGTAAGGTTTGTAAAACCTTATGAGGAGCAACATAATCTTGGCAAAATTTGACCAACTGTGCAAAGATATTACCGTGCTAATAAGTGATCATAAAATCTGATCAAAATCTTGCGATTAGACTGGATATAACAGTGTGATAAAGAAAGATTTTTCGTATGATTTAAGCT